TCCTGAGGCTTCATTCTGTTGGCTGCTTCAAGGATAAGTTATTTAGCAATATTTTTATTTTGTTAACAATTTTGTGTCAACAAATCCCATAAAAAAAAAAAGAATTTATCCTACTTAGTGTTTAACAAATCACCATGCAACTATACATTATAGAGCTATCCATCTTTAAAAATACATAATGTACACTGCATTATATTATTGTATTAATATCCTCATCATTATCTTTATTATTTTATTGCTATCAAAATGTCTGATGTGTAGTCATTTTTTCCACTACATTGCATTATATATACTTTTAATTATTAATTATCAATTATACTTTTCTTGCACTCATTTTATCATTATCATATCATTATCATTATTATCATAACATGTAGCTCATTTTGGCATTTATGTATTATAATTAGCATTATAATATTAGTACTCTAATGTTTAGCTTATGTTTTTTTAATTTTTAATTTCCAGTATTGTGCTGCTTGTGACTGTGCTGCTCTATATGCTTCTACAAATTGCCTCTTGGGGACAAATAAAGTGTTTTGAATTATATTGAATTCTAATAAGTGCCAAAGAGGTCCATTGTTGTCCAAAAACAATTAAAAACATCATTGACCCACACTGTTGCAGGTGACATGTTCAGTCATTACAGTGAACACGGGCACAGTAGTTTATTTTGAGTCAATTCCAGATACACCGTCATGCTGCCATAAATGCTTACTGTGCATTAAAGGTGTATAAAACTGCAGATTAGTGCCCATCAAGATCTTTTTAAAGATTCATGTCTTCAGTAGGAACCAATGGGCTTGGAGCTGTGTGCCACAGACAGTGTAGGAAAGTTGAAAAGTATGAGATTTGTTAACAAAATGAAAAATACAGAATAACGTCAGCCTCATCCTCTCAACAAGCACCTACAGTATAAAGCTTGATGGCAGGAAACAAATCTGCAGCTACTAAAACTGGAGAAGACTCCATTTTTTAAAATACACCGGAGAGCAGATTTCTCACAATTAAAGGGTCTTTCTGAACGTGTGTTTTGCTCAAGTCTTGAGCTGTATTGTTACATGAAAATCAGACAATAATACACATAAAAACAATGTATTGGCTTTTCGTACATTCAATAGGAGGAAACACACATTCAAGAGAAAAAAAAAACACATTGCAAAAGGAGAACAACCTGGAGCTGTTATCCATTATTCACTATGTAGCATACGTGACAGATCGACACCTGAGCAAATTATCCAGGCTGAATCCCCTTACTCCCTCTACATCTACTGTGGTCACAAAAAAATATCACACAAGGTGGCAACCTGTGTGGTTGTCTGCCTCAGGTGAAGCTGAAGGTTAACACGGAGTCAAGCTGAGGGTTTGTCCATGACCAGATTCATATTTAACGTTTTAAATCTCACAGATACACGTGGTCTAAGACAACACGACAGGCGCTGCTGAGAACAACCGACTCAGTACAGTCAGGAATAATGGCATTTTTTGCTATTGCTCCTGAGCTCAGAACAAAATAAGTACACATTAGCACCTATTTATCAGTGATGTATACACACACAAAAATACAAAGAAAACAGACTCTCTTAATCAGACAGGTGTTTGTTTTCCAGCTTGTTTGTGTTGGTATAATTGGAGCTATTTTTTCTAACCAGCTTTATATCTCAGTGGAAAATACAAAACGTGCAAAGTCTGTAATACCAAGCATCTGAGTATAGAGTCAAATTTAATTAAATGTTAATACTACCTGTAATTGTGCTTAATACAAATGATGCTGTGTCAAATAAACAAACAAGCAGAAAAATAATGGCACACTGGAGAAGAGCGACTTGGATCCGACTGTGATGAAACAGAAGCAGGTGCTACTGATGAATGGGTGGGCTAATATTATCATCTACAGGGGAGGGAATAGATTTTCCCTAAAAATCACAGAAGACACACTGGGTTGATTAAGTACAAAAGGTTTTTAAAAAATCCCTTTACTATCACAGTTACATTTTTAAAAACAAGACCAGTGTATATCACGTGTGACCTTTCTGGGTTGAATTGTCTTGTTTTTAATCATGTAGCCACAATAATTTGTACCCCTCCAATATATATATATATATATATATATATATGTAGTTTTTGTACTAACAAAGAAGTTTCGCTTCAATTTCATGAGGAAATCTGTTCCTCTCCTTGTAGACAGTCACAAGAAAATAAATTAAGGTGGTAAAACAGGTCACTTTATAATTAAACACTGTGATGAAGTGTCTAGCTAAACTGAGAGCTGCAAGAAAGTGAGGCCTTGGAAAACTGTGAAAAATACACAACAACTTTAGTGTATTAATGAATCCTGTTGTGTATTAGTGTAAAACCAGACAGTTATGTATGTTGTGGTTGGTTTCTACTACCACAATGAATGGATGGCGTTTCATATTTTTCACTTAGAGCGAACAGCTGGCTTCCACAGCAGGACAATGATCCAAAGCAGATCTCAAAATCCACCATGAGCTCCCTCAAGAAACACAAGCTCAAGTTTTTGGAACAGGAACATAGTCCCCTGACCTGAACATTATTGAAAATCTGTGGGTAGATCACTTAATGTGATCTGCAAGAAGACTGGGTGAAATTCCTAAGTATAGATAGTCTCTCAGCTGCTACACAAGAACACAAACTGTTTGCAAGCTGTGTTATCTGCCAAAGCAGGGAGCGTACCAAGTACTGACTTAGAACAGTGCCAAACTTTCATACATGCCACAACTACTGCTTTTTTTCAATATTCTTTACGTTCATAAGATTTACATTTGAAGAAACATTTTCATGTGGTTGTATTTACTTCTTTTCACTTCAAAAATCAACAAAATGTCTATTTGCCTATGTTGCTGAAACTTTTGCACACTACTGCACTTTACTTCAAGCTTTACTGACCCCACAACTGCAGGCAATGCTGTTCTCCACTACATACAATAAGGCCAAGGCAAACTACGACAGTACAACCCATAAAGTAATTAAATACAGCCTTACAGCACAGACAAAAACTGATATGTGAAAATCCAGTACAACATGAAAGTGGCACCAGAACACTATAGCACCTTCATAATCCAATATTTCTGTGTGTCAGGACAAGTTTCAAACATCCTGCACATGAATGGCCACAGCTAGGCTCTACTTCCTGTCATGGATTAGGTTTTTAATTGTGTGTTAAACTGCTGCATGCTTTACTGGTCTGTGATGAAGCATCCTCTACACTTCCTCTCCACAGCATCGTGATCCAGCAACAGTATGGGCTCAAATCAGGGCCAAAGTACTTTTGATGATGATGTTCACAAATACTTAAAAGGTTTGTAGTTGTAAATCAACCTTTGTAAATCTGTAAAATAAATCAGGCAGCTGTAGTGACTAGGGATGGGCACTTGAAGAAATTTCATTCCTGAGTCACTTGGCTGGGTGTTGAGGCTTAAAACCAGTGTTCATTTACTCACTACTACCACTCTGTACTTGCTATGCATGAGGGGATCCTACATGAACACAAAGTGTAAACAATTTCTGTTATTTCACATGATTCTCACAAGATTTCTGTCTTATTTTTTCCCGTTTTGTCAATTGCTCTTCCGCTGGTTTAAATTGGGCGGGACTCAGGTAGAAAGGTGATTTCACATCCTTGCATGCACCAATCAGGAGTTAGTGATATTTGAATCAAATTTTATGACAGATGTTGTTTTATGTTGCAAGGCCACACTCGAATGTGACCAAACCACACCCACACAGCCCTAATAAAGCAACCAAAGCCAGGTTTTAGAGTGTAACTGTTAATAAATAATACAGAACAAAAGTTTTCTCCAATCTTACAATCCAATAATTTCAAGGTTACAATCAAGTTTAATATCCAGCTAGCAGGTTTTTATTTCTAATATTTTTTGGACATATTGCTGATTATTCAGTGCCATGTCCTTGTATGTATTTGTGACTTTATTTGTTTTTATGCTGTCTGAGTTAGATGAGCCAAATTCTCCAAGCAAGAAAATTAAAAAATTAACTGAAAATAACTGCAATAATCTGCATGTAACCTTAAAAATTAGAATTTAAGGCCAAAAGTTGATATGACATATATACTCAGAAGTTGTTGGTTTTGGGTAGTTATACTAATACCTCAAATTTAATATGGTATGACTCGACTTACTGATAGTAAAATGTTACGTTTAACACATTTAACAACCCACAGAGAGGCCTAGAGTCTAAGTCTGTCAGTTAATCCATCAGTCTGGTTGGTAAATGAATAGAGCCTCTTGTTCCTTTCACTTAGTTTCTGGATGTTAATAGGAGTGAGCTGACTGACAGGCACAGAGAGTGAGTCAGCGTGGCTCCAAACAAGTCAAAGCTATTGTGATTCAGAAAGGCAAAGGAATGCACAGCAGCCACCAGAGCTTTGCACACACACACACAAGACATATATACCTTTATCCTGCAGATTGCTTTTCATCGATCTTAGACACATTTTTAGACTGGAACACATTAACTTTAACAACAGACCTTAGTTGCATTTAAAGGTTGGATAAGTCTCACAACTGACAGACCCTTGTCATTTTTACAGTGCAGTATCACAGTATCACAGCATTAACTGTAACCTTTAGTGTAGTCCTACCCCAATCTGAACCCTAATCAAACCCGGAATCAAAACTGAAATAGTTCTTCATTTTAGATGAATTTCCTCTCCTCTTTCAATGCTCTTCTCACTTTTAGGATGTCTGTTCTTCATAAAAATAGACATACACACACATATACACACATTCACACCCACACAGCCAAGCTTATTTCTCTCTTATCCAGAGAAATCCTTTCATCAGCCTTTCAGTGCTGGGTAATCAAAGTATAAAGAACCATGTCAGTTTGCTACTGCTAGATGTGTGTGTGTGTGTGTGTGTATGCAAGAGCGTGTGCAGTCACCAGGTGTTAATCCGATATTGTGTGCTTCCCCACTGATGTTAAGTAATATGGAAAAAAAAAAAGTATCAGTCACTCACCTCAGGCCGAATGTGTGAGACTGCTCATAGTGGAACAGGGAGTGAATCTTTGCATCTGAATTCACAGCAATCAGCCTGTCAATCAAATCCTGCAAAGTAAAAATGAGAGGGTGTGAAACAGAAGACAGCAGTTATGGTGCAAAATGAAAACAGTGTGGATATTTACAATGTGTAAGGTGGAGAATGTACATCAGCTTCAGTATATTGAGGGTTTCGGAAGAGCCCTTTGCAAGGTAAAACAAGTGCATGGGTGGTGGTTGGACACAAAATGAAAAGTGCAAACATGCCCTCAAATGGCTGAAAGAGGCATTGCATGAAATCTGAACTACACAGCGTGAAAACCACTTACAGGTATGGAGGATGGCATTTCTCTTAGGGTGTATTCACTCTTGTTGGCTAAAGGCTGTCGGCCCAGCAGCTCCCATACTGATTGGGAAGAGGAGAGCAGGTTGACCAAGGACAGGAAGGACTAGGGAGACAAAGAGACAGAAAGACAAAGAGAGGGTTATAAAAGTGTCAAATGGCAAAACAAGGGTGTAGTAATTGATGATTTTCATTAGGATCTACTCTCATTGTAATCTGTGCCACTTATTTTCCATTAATGTGTTTTGTTATCATGTTATGTGTGTGTGTGTAATTTTTTAGTTCGAGAAATTCTTGTGATGGGACTGGTTATGAAAACTACCTTATTTATGAGACTATAAACACTGTATGTGGCATTGGTCCAATGATATTTATCCCTATAAAAATAACCCTTTAAATAAAGTAGAAACACTAGAGAGATACTATGATAAAAGAAAACATTATGGCTTAATTAACCAGTTGATGTTGATGTACAGAAATCCACTGTGTATTATGTCCTTGATAAAAACATTTTAATTGACGCAAAAACAAAGCAAATGTGAAAATGGAAATAAGAAGATGGCTGCATGTGAGCACTTTTACAGCATGAACTTACATCTGAAGTTGTCTGAAGAATACTAAAACAAAGGAAGCCCTTCTATTCTCATTACTGGATCAAGGTTATCAGGGAAATGTATAGGCATCAAAGGGAAAAAAGGATGACCACACACATACACACACTCATGCATGCATACATAAAACAGCTTAAAAGGAACAAGCCTTTCTATGAGTGTAAAAATGTATAAATTTATGTTTTCCAGAGATTGAAATCTCTATTCCTTCATCTGTCCCTGTCTGTTGATGTGTCAAAGGTGCAATACAGACTTCTACATGTTTTATAGTCTGTCTGCTTCAGTTTTTTAATGTTTCCAACACAGAGATGAATCCAACACATTGAACAAAATTCTTAACTCAGAAAAGGTGAAAATGCTACTCATAAAAAAGACTGTGCTACATATTTACTTTGCTTTGTCTCACAGAGGTCAATGCAAAAAACTTCACACACAGATTTAATGGAACATTTTGTCTGTTTTCAGAACCGGCTCAGGTTCAGGGCTCCTCTGCCATGTGCTGGCAGGGATGGACTAGGAGGTCTGACTGCATGTATGTAACCTGGCAGCTGACCCACTGATAAGGCAGGCTTTAAAGTCTCTGGAGGCAGGGCACAGTTGACACTTCACTGGTTGTCCGTATTCACTTGGCTAGTTTCATTGAGAGAGAGATGACCTGGCTCCTGTCAGAGACCAGCACAGCATCTATCACACGCACGCACGCACGCACGCACGCACGCACGCACGCACGCACGCACGCACGCACGCACGCAAACTGCACTTGTGCTTCGAACTAAATTTGAGCCTGTCCTGGACTGAACCTGGAAATTCTGCCAAACTTTAGAATCAGAATCAGAAAAAGTAAAAACTATTATAAAATATAAACATATATAAACCAAATTAAGAAAATGCAGCCTTGTGCAAGGAGGAATCTTTATCATGGTTTAAAATAGTTTTAATTTTCTACAGATAAACAGAGTACTGTACTGTAAACTACAAATTGACTGAAAAAGGTAAAAAAAAAAATGGTGTTTGAGTCTACACCTGTTATATAAAATGTGCTATAGAAATAAATATGACGTGACTTAATGTGCTTCAAGATAAAAAGCAAACAGAAGGCAAAGATCATACTTCCATATTAGAAGGCATTACGATAAAAACTCTCTCTCACACACACACTCGCACACAGTACCTTGAGGCAGCTCCTGTCGATGGGGTCCATGGGTGTTGGTTTGGGACGGACCACCCTCACATCTTCACTTCCACACTCCAGAGTTGACCACAGCTCAATTACCAGCGCCCGGACAAAACCTGCAACACGATATCAAGCTAGTGGTTTCAATATGGATTTGTATGGAGAAATTCTGAACTGACACTGAAACTTTAGCGTGTGAGGTTGCTGGAAGTGCAACTGGGATTTTAAGCATCTGAAAATTCATAAATCATAAAAAAAATCATAAAAAAACTGATGACGGCTTCCCATTTCTTTTAAATGTTTACACAATTTAATATAGAAAACTTTCAAAAAGATTTTGTGACAGGTTCTTTTTTGACATTTTAGCCTTTTGTTGACAGGAGACAGTATGAACAGACAGGAAACATGGGGAGAGAGCAGGGAACAATGTGGAATAAAAGCCCCCAACCAGATTCAAACTGTGGAAATTGCAATTATATGGTATACCGCTTAACTGCTGAAGCTGCCCAGATGACCCAAATATTACAATCCTACAATTACAAATCTATAATTCAATTTTACACTTCCACACTTATAAATTGTACGAGTTGTATGCCTTTGCCTGTGTCTATACCTCCTCTCCACCTAGCATTAATATGTATGTGGAATGCATTCAGATATGATTTACTAGCTACTTGTGAATGTGTCTTAGAAAGAGTCAATAAAAATTTGACAGCTGCTCACATCACAAACTGTCTTAATCCTTACAAAAACTTGACAATAAAAATCCTCTCTTGCTCTGCCTTCATCCATTTATTCTGACACAAACAATCTGCCAAAGATGTTTCTCCCTGGGCTGCTTGACGCCTGCTTTATGTCGACTAGACAACAACTTAGAATACAAGCTTTAGGAATCACAGATGGCAAGTGTTTGTTTGTGCGAGTAAGCGCATTAGTACCTGAACAGTGCAAAGCCACCACCCCCGGAGCAGTTGCTGCCACCTGTGTCACCATCACCCCGTATCCAAACTTCTCACAGCGGCTCACCTGCAGAGAGCACACACAGAAAGCCCATAATCCCCCCCGATATATTTCACTTTTATCTTTGAAGGTTTTGCTTATATTAGTTAGATATAAATGAGATATTGGGACAGGATGGAAAATTAAAAGATTGATGTAGAAAAAGAAGGACTTGAATTTGAAGCAAACATAGCTCTATCTTGAGAGAGAATTTGACATTTGTGATTCAGCATGGAAACTCTGCTATGACACTGCTAAAATCCTGAAAAAGGCACTACATAACATAGTTTAGTAAGATGAGGGGAAATAAAGTTGCAAATTGATTTTTAGAGTGTGTGGACCCTTCATTTATTACAACACAATGTCAAGACTAAAAATATACAAAATATAATTACATTCCATAATTAAAGTGAAATGCAGAGAGAGAGGCAATTACAAAAGTGTGCAAACAATGCTTGTAAATTAAGCCCACAGGGGATTAGCTAAAGTTTGGAGTAAGACTGTGTGTGCATTCACAATATGAATCAATGACAATGCTATAAATGTAAGGGATATGTAGAGTCCAGAGGTTAATAAATCAAACCCAGAGTGGAACTAGCAGCATGTTAACAGCCTCCAGGCTACTAGTGAATACTAAACAGTCTCCAGGAAAGGTGCTGTGGCTTTCAGGAGGAGCAACAAATTACCACATCTTCTGCAGAATGAATCAGGGATACAGATGTCACAGGCCAACAGAATGTTATTGAGGTTTGTAAAGATAGGCTGTTTTGCTGGATGGAACATAATGCAATACAAAAGCCTAGAACTACAGCATGCATATTTTATTGTACATAGTAAATTCAGTTTGTGCAGGACACAAGCTTCAAAAGTCCCGAGCAGCCTTGAATGAGCTCTACAATTATATATATATATATATATATATACATATATATATATATAATTATATAACACATATAATTGTAGATGTAAATTTGAACTTGTAAATGTGAAAGACTAAACTTATTTCACGTTTCATAGGGTTTTTTTTCCCTTGTAATCAGTGATTAAACCTCAGAATCTTATATCTATGTGTGATAACGATGATCCTCTATTGCCAAAGTTGTGGTTCTCTGAGCCAAAGTGGTCACTTCACATTTTAATTCACTGTAAATAAATCTACTTGATGTAACACTCTGTGTTAAATGACTTTTTCCAAATCCTGCTGTGCCTGTGGTGTTGGCCTGCAGTAATTCAAGTCAATGTGACAAAGAATCACTTGAACAGCATATTACTTTGGCACATTGATAGCATCTAGAAGGATTAAATCGAGCCACTGCCAAAGTTAATTCTTGCAGGGCTTCCATAAAGGTGACAAAATGGTACCATCCAACTTCAGACAGGTGACAAATTAAATGAAAAACCTGAATAAAGGAGTGGACAAACACAACGAATGCAGTTAACATCCAGTAATTCTCTGTGGCATGTGTAAAAATGCTGAGCAGACCCAGATGATTCTGATTTTCTATCTATGGCAAGAGGAAAAGATCTAAGTGACTTTTAAAAAGGGTTCATCGTTGGGGCACAGATGGCAGGAGTCACAAAACCTGCTCAACTGGTTAGTGTTTAGTGACTGAAGTAACATCTGCATTTAGATCTAGGGGAAAACCTCAGAAATTGTGGTCGACATCACACAGTTGATGACCATGATGCTTGTGTATTAGTGGGATATGTAAGGAAAAACAGAAGAGCAACTCTTACTCAGGTGACCGAGAATGTCAATGCAGGACGTGATCAGACTGTGTCAGCAACAACAGTCTGTCGACAATTACATAAAGAGGGATATTATAGTAGGGTTGCAGTGCGCAAACCCTCATTACAAAGATGAATGCACATTTGAGAGTTCAGTTGTGCAAAAACCATAGTGAGGGGATCCAGTGGCTCTCTTGTGCTGTGGGGGTCATTTTGCTGGCATGGTTTGGGTCCACTTGTCACCTTAGAGGGAAGAGTCACTGCAAATCAATACAAAGTTGTTCTGAGTGATCACCTTTATCCAATAGTGAAACATTTCTATCCTGATGGGAGTGGTCTCTTGCAGGATGACAATGCACCCATCCATAGAGCACAAGGGGTCAGTGAATGGTTTGAAGAGAATAAAAATGATGTGAATCATATGCTACGGCCTTCACAGTTACCAGACCTCAACCCAATGGATCAATGTGTTAGACAGAGCTCTTCACCTCCATCATCAACACCACCGAATGAGGGAATATCTTTTTGGAAGAATGGTGTTCATCCCTCCTGTAAAGTCCAGAGACTTGTAGAATCAATGCCAAGGAGCAGTGAAGCTGTTCTGGCAGCGCATGGCAACACCTTACTAAGACAATTTATGTTGTTTTTTCCTTTAATTTGTCACCCGGCTGTACATCAGCACCCGTGCTTATCGGCATTTCTGCACTAAAGTCCAATGCTTTCTAAAAGCAGAAGGTAAGACAGACTTGTCTGGATAGCTGACATTTTAACTTGAAATCAGCTTCCAGTGCTTTTAAATGAAATGAGTCTGGCAACATCCGGAGGTCCTTAGTGCTAGTATTTTACATTAGTCGTTGCAAAGTCAGCACTGTTTGGATTGGGGATTGAAAACTAGGTGGAAAAGAATATTAGTAGTGACCCACCCTCATTACTCACAGTTGATGTGCCCTCGAGCAAGTCACTTAACCCCCAAACTGCTCCCATGAGGCCTCTCAGTGACTAACCACATCACTGTAGTCACTGTGGATTGGGCAGTTTCCAGGAGTGAATGTGTTGCTGCTAAAGAGCATTTGGCTCAGCAAAAGTACAGGCTATTAATGAAGGTTGAGAAAAAAAAAATCTGTGCATTGAGAGCAATGTGCCTGGCACACTGAATATAACTGTGTAAAAGTGGATGAAAGATAAAATTTTGAATGTTTTTTTTTTTTTTTTTGATGATGGATAATATAAGGAAAACAACCAGTTATACTTGGGTAGCAATGTAAAGTTCAGTGTTTGTTGTTACCTGTAGTTTTTTAGTAAAGCGAGAGAACATATAGGAGACACATTCATTAATGGCCCCTGTCTGCTGGAGCAGCAGCAGGCCTTTAGGAGTTGCTGCAAAGTTCAGCAGGCTGTCCAACAACGTTTCCTCCCAGATGAGCCTGTTCCGAAGTCAGAAAGAAAGAGAGTGGGCTGCAGTACAGTGTATTCACACTGTGAGAAACACAATGTTTGAGTTACTAGAAGTCGATTCATTACTCTTTAGCGATATCATTTTCTTTGTTGAACAGTAGTTCAGCCCAGGATTTCCGTAATGAGTTCCTTACACTCATTCTTGTTAATTGTGAGGTTAAGTCATCACAATGATGCAGAAAATGGGATATTGATGAATGTAGAATGAAAACAAACATCTTGTTTAATTTTCTGTGGTCTGAACAAGCTTCGATCAGTTCCCATAACTCATCTAAATATACTGATGACAAGAGCAACAACTATCACATTATGTTATCAGTTACTGCTTAAGCTATGTCTCTCGTGGTACAGTGTCATGTTTTCTATGCTGCACACAAGTTTGCCTTTTTCAATAATTTAAACTTTTGTTCCCTTCCCTACTATTACTGCTGTTGCTTCAGTAAACTCCATCCAACTCATATTTACCAACGATGCCAGTCATTTATTTGTTTATTTTATTTAAATCAGAGCCAGGGACAAAATGAAACACTGCGTTTGGAAGCTTAGTTTGGAAGACAATCAGGTATTCTGCTCTTGAACTTTGATATGTCATTTCCTATGGGTGGAGACATGTACATGTACACACAACATCAGTTCAGTTCATCCGTGCAACAGGGCAGATATAAAGTGCGTCAGTTATGGGAGACACACCGAACTGTTATATAAACTAATTTTTATCATTTAGGTTGATATGCAGTTAAGTGCTGAATGAACACTTAACAAATACACTTTTTCAAAAAGTTACATCTTGAATATGTTGAACAAGTGTGTTACAGTGTTTGCATGCAGATAGACTGGAATGCACTGTGTTGGCACATAGTTAAACCTGATTTTATGATGTCCTGGCGAACCACGCTGCCTCTGAACCCTAATCTAGGTCAACGAGTAGAATGTGCTGAACATACAGTGAGTGGTTACATAATGGGTACAAAGGCATGTTACTGCGAGGCATTGTTTTTGTATACATTTTGTTTTTTGGTAGATATGGACACATGGTTATGTATAAGCTTACCGTCATATTTGACAAGCTAACTGTTGAAGGCTGTAAATTAAATATCCACACATGTCCAATCATTGTCAAAAAAACAAAAATCTGTCTTTAAATATCTATGCTGAGCGTCTGTAATACCTGCATTATGACCAATCACTACTTATATAAGGTACCCAAACTCTGTGTGTCTGTGTGTGTGTGTGTGTGTGTGTGTGTGTGTGTCTCTGTGTGTGTGTGTGTGTGTGTGTGTGTGTGTGTGTGTGTGCGCGTGTGT